AGGGAACCGCGCAGAGACCGGATCTCGGCTGAGCGACGGAGGGAGTCAACTACGGGGCGAGACCAAGGAACAGGTCATCTGCGCCCCAGAGAACCAGCCAGGGCCTGGACAGAGACAGCCCAAAGCCTAACTTGCCAGCGCTGTGGGCAAAAAGGCCACAAGAGGGCTCAGTGCACCAGGTCCCAGGAACGGGGACTTTCCAGGGTTAACTGGCTGGGGCGGGAGGAAGGGCAGGCTGCCCCAGAGGCAGGGGCTGGCAGGCAAACCTCAGCTCAGAGAGAGGGGAAGGATGCTCAGTGCACCTCCCCTGGGAGGTCTGATTCTCAGGAGGCGGATTTCTCCGTGTACCGGGTGGGGGCAGGACGGCCCCTGCGGAGCGAGTGCCTCATACCCCTGGAGGTGGATGGTAGGAAGGTGACGGGCTTCTGGGACACGGGGGCGGAGGTGACTCTGGCCCGATCCGACATAGTGGCCCCGGAGCGGATACTACCCCACGCGCAGCTGACCCTGAAGGGCATAGACGGGTCCCCGTTTAAGGTGCCTGTAGCCCGGGTGCATCTGAAATGGGGGGCGAAGGAAGGCCTCAAGGAAGTGGGCGTGCACCCGCATTTGCCCACCGTCATGCTGATGGGGAATGACCTAGAGGAGTGGCCCCATGATTCCCAGCAGGCTCTACTCACCACTCGGAGCCAGAGCCAGCGAGGGGCTGGCAGCCTGGGTCCAGGGAAGGACTCCCGGCAGCGTCCTCAGGGTCCCATCCCAGTGGACACGGGGTCCAACCAGGCTGGGACGCCGGACCTAGGTAAAGGTGGGGGACAGGTCCCGATCCCTGCCTCAGCAGCTGAATTCCAGGCTGAGGTGCAGGCAGACCCCTCCTTGCAGAGGCTGAGGGACCAGGCTGGCCTCCGTGCAGCTCAGCCCCGGGGGAGAGGTGGCCAGGAGAGATTTCTATGGGAGCGGGGATTCCTGTTCCGGGAATGGCTTCCCCCCGGGAAGGTGAAGGCATGGGGGGTCCAGCGGCAGCTGGTCGTCCCCCGAAAGTATTGCCTTGAGCTGCTGTATTTGGCCCACAGCGTCCCTGTTGCGGGCCACCGGGGGATCCGGAGCACCCGGCTGAGGCTGCTCCAACACTTCTATTGGCCGGGAATCTTTACAGCCGTGCAGCGGTACTGCCGGTCCTGTGACTCCTGCCAGAGGGGCGGGAAGGCCCAAGACAGGAGGAAAGCGGCTTGGGGGTCCCTACCCCAGATAGACCCTCTGGGCTTGGTGAGAGAGTTATGGGAGGGGAAGACCCCCCTGGATGGAGTGTCGGGGGTGGAAGCCGCCCTGGCTGTCCAGAGAAGGCTCGCTTGGCTCATGGCCCCGGCCCGAGAGACCCTGGCCAGAGATCAAGGCCAGTGGAAGGGTGGGTGTGATCCCTGAGGACAGGCCGGTGCCAGTCGCCCTGGAGCGGTGCGGCAAGTGGACAGAAGGAAACCAATTCATGTGGGGCTCGCCATGGCCGGCCCAAGTCAAGGGGAGCATCCATGTCCCCAGGGCGGGTTCCCACGCAGAGGACCCGAACTTCCCTAGGTCACGAGCGGAGTGACCCTGCTCAGTTCGCTCTCGGAGGGGGGAGAACTGTGACGTAGTGGGGGTACCTGGCTGGTTTCTATGCTGCTGGCTCGGGGGGAACCCCCACTGGCTGCTGTGGGTACCACGACCCAGCAAAACAGGATGAGTCACTATGCAAACCAGTGGCCAGACACCCCCCATGGAGAGGAACAAAGGAAGGTGGAATGCTGCCTTGGCTGGGGGGCAGGGCTGGAAGTTAGTGAGTTGGTTGCTGGCTGTCGGAGGGCATGGAGGAGAGCCTAGGGGAAGGGGCTGGAGTTTAGGGGCCCAGTCTCCCCCATCTCAAGGGGGCCTGAGGCATCCTAGCCCAGTTCCAGTAACCAGATGACATCTGTGCTGCGCTGTGCTGGAGGAGCAATAAACCACCCTCAATGCCACTGGCTGGTGCAGTCTGTTTGTGCCATTTCGGGGTGCAGGAGACGGGGAACCCCCAACGCGCCGTCACACTCCCCATCTGTGATCAGGACCCATTGTGTCGGGTAGTGCTTCACATCCCCGTGGATGCACTGCATCGCTATTGTCGGGCCCATCGTACCTCCCCGGGGCAGCAACGCTTCCCAGACCATCGTCTGGTTGGACCCTGTGTCCACGAGGGGCCCTAACACCCCTCCTCACACCG